AACTTTACCAAAGAGACTGAACACAACTCACCCACTCTCCTCCAGCAGACGCTTGTTTGTGGGGGCAGCCCTGACAAGTCGATTACCGAGTGCAGCGGATCATAACCATGAAGTAATAATCATCATAACAATCATTTTGCACTGCAGACGTGGTCTCAGTTTGATTGCATTTCCATTTAGTAATCATAAATGTTCCATTGCACTCTGTGATTGACTCATCAGGGCTCCCCCCACAAACAAGCGGCTGCTGGAGGAGAGTGGGTGAGTTGTGTTTGGTCTTAGTGATGAAGTTAGGTGCTGTTCTGAGCATCATTTGTGGTGTTTTGGTTGAGGTTTGCATGTGGAGACGTAGACCGCTGTGTATTGCTATCCTGCGGTCATTACTAAAGTTGGTAAAACTAAAGAAGCAAGCGGTCGGCAACATTCATCTCTCGAGGGGGTGTCTAACTCGGCGTTAGGGTGTGTTTAATTTTACGCCGGAATATCCCTTTAACACCAAATATCTGCAAAAACTCAAGAGTAAAAAAAGTGAAAGTCTGTTTTCGACCGGAGCGTTACATAATCACGATTTCTGACAATGCTGCACCGACAGCGATGATCACAGCACAGTCTGGTGCTCATCAATTTGCACGCTAAAATACAAACAAACTGATGTCTGAATGTATTTTTAAGTGGTTATGATTGTTGACATTTGGATCAGGCTGTGTCTTTACAAAAGGATTGCTCAAATTACTCTCTAACTCACTGATAACTTAGTCAACAATACGGCTGTTTCTTCTTTTTACTTGTAAAGCTAATAAAATGAGACATCATCGAATCGATCGTTGTTTGTCCTGAGATGAGCATAAATGCCAGACTACAGAAAAACAATGATAAAAAAATGAATAGTTTGGATAAAACAACATCGATCGGTTTACAACAGAGTTGTCTGTGCAGAAAAAATAAGTACTGAGAGAAATCTGAAAGAAAACAGAGAAATAATGAAGACGATATTGACTGAGATGATTCTGCAAAAACTGAGCGAACACAGAGACTAACAGGAGGCATCAAAAGTGAGCGAGCACACATAGCAGACACTTCAGGAGGACTCCAGACGGGCTGACCGGAGCGTGGTGGGGGTGGTGGGCTCGACGGTGTTTGTTAAACTGTGTGGTGGAGCTGGTTCACGTCTCTTGAGGTTCAGCCAAAGGTCTCCAGTAAAGGTGGGGCTAATCTCCAAAACTAAGCTGCAGAGTTCTGTCAGCTCAGCGGCCTCCTGGAGGTAATACACTACAGCTCCGGGAAATAAAAGACATCAAGTGAGGAACTCTCCGACATTTATTTGTGCAATTTAGCGAGGAATCTGGCCGTCGGGGCTCGAGGGCGGCGCAACTTTAAGTACTGCAGGAATAACTCACATGTGCAACAGCGCTGGACTGATGCTGCATGAGCTTTTCATGCAACTATGACTGATCCACTTCACTCTCATGACATTTGGATCAAAACTGAAGCCAAACGGTTTTAATCTTGCAAACGTGCGAGGGGAAGACACACCTCTTCCTCTCGGTGACTTAAAGCATCCACACACACACACACACACACACACACACACACACACGGACTGGAACTAATTAGCGGACTATGTGAAGACAGACCACACACCGACTCTGAGAGCTCTCCATGAATGCATACCTCCAGCCAGGCTGCACAAACGTCCAGATTTGTAGTTTTTAACATATTTTGATTTCATTCAAATGAGGCCAGGATGATGTTATGAAATGCTTTCTGCACCCAAAACTTATCACTTTATTTTCAAACCTGAACCAATTTCCCAACAAAGATTTTGCTGCAGAATTACAGCTTTGCCTGAGGCAGCTTACAATCTGTCCAAGAAATTTAAAAAAAGCAAAATAAAAAACCCAATAATAAAGAGTTACTAAGGAAATGAGACCTCAAACATTTTCCCCTCGGGGGAAATACAACACGAATCATAAAAGCTCTCTTTTCAGAGCTTCTCGGAAATTTTGATTTCACAGGAAATTTCAGAAACGAGCGGAGCGTGAGACAAAAATTTATCATCCAATCACATGAGAATACATCATCAGACAGGAGCTAATCAGGAGCTCTGAGTCACTAATAATCACGTCCAAGTGACCAAAGCGTCTGAAGACAGGACCAGATTTTGCTGCTACATGAAAAGTGAAACCTGTAGAAACTTAATGAGCAGTCTGACTATAAAAACAACACTTTTTTAAATGTGTGCTTTTGATTAACATGAGCCGACAAATTTAAAGTACATTCTACAATAAACAATATCCAGCATTACATGAATTGAATCAGAGTAAATTGATTGAATTGTCTGTTTTTTGTTGACACATAAAGAGGCCTCATCTTCAGATATGAAATGTCAGTTTCAGTTTTATTAACCTCTGTCTGAAGACATTAAAATAAAGCTCCACTAAGCTGTAGAGAGAGCATGGCTGTCAGTGATCAATACTCTATAGATCTATGGAGCTGAAGGTCACTCTCACTCTCTGACTGAATCTCAGACTTTCATTAAGCGGGAAAACTTCCTGACCGTTTAATGAGCTCAATCAACACCATGTCAATCAGATTTCACTTTGGTCTTAACGAGCTCACTGTCCAATCAATCATCGGATTTTAATGATATAATGAGTTCATCTAAGGCAAGCTGAGGTTGTGGATCAAGAGGTTTTAGGAGACCTCTCATACCTGTGGATCTGCTGCATAGATTTACAGGTATACTACTGCAATAGTGAATAAATAAATAAACTCAAGAAGACGGAAAGTTATAGCTTTTAATTAGAGCATGTTTTTAGTCAAATTTATTTATAAAAAAAGTCAATTTTAAAACAGCAGGAGCGCACCACAGCGCTGCAAAACACAAGAATAATACCAAAGAACCAAGCAGCAACTCTTAGTGAAAAAAACGATGACATGCAAAAGCGCTTCATGCAAACGTATCGAATCTAGTTTATTTATGAAGTGCATTTACAAAAAACAACATAACTGCAGTTCCTTGAGTGTCCACTAGAAGAAAGCTGCAGACAAAAAGTCAACAAGTCTGCATCTCTCTTTCTTTGCACACAGCTTGTCCCTTCTGAGGATATGTAGCTCAATAATTTGATTTACAGACGGACCTCCTGTATCTGTTTGCGAGGAGGCCGAAGTCTCGCCTAAACCTAGTCAACTGAAAGTTACATTGGGTCAGCATTTCCAAAATAGACAGCGCCACCAATAGTCTCTAAGATTTTACCGGAACCAATGAGAGGTGATTTTTTTTCCTCCCATGATTTGGCAAGAAGAGTTTTTAAAAAGAGATTTAAATATTTATCTTTTTTTCCCTTTAAAACCTGTAAATTTTAATATGATGACGGCAGTTAACATCCATCAAATGTTTAATAAGGCATGAGGGGGAAAAGAAAAGTTTGATTCTGCAAACACACACTCACACTCCTAAGATTTAGAGTCCTGAGTGACTGCAGAGTGAGTTTGTAATGATCCAGCTGTGTGGGTCCCCCCCCCACACACCATCTGTTGTCTGTCTCTCCACATAGAGACCCATTAAATCTTTCTGCAGGACTCACTGTGCAGGGAGGTGACCTGTCAGAGGCCGATGAACTCAACTCAGACCTCCGACAACGAGAACACTCCCCGGAGTGTGAACCTGTCCTGAGGAGGGATCTGCAGGTTAGACCTCTGTGGACACGGAGCGATCAGCTGACTGCTTCTGCTCATAATTAAGCAAATATAAATCTGAATATTCATGAAGAGAAAACCTAAAGAAGAAAGCAGGTGTGTTTGAAGAAAGGTTGTGTGATTACTAAAGACACTTTAGAGATTTCATCTTTTCTATAATTCTCCATTAAAATGCAGGTCAAGCCCTGATTAAAGCTGCTGTCATTAGCATAAATCACTCTAAGTGTTTTGCTGCATTATGCCTTAAGGCTGCCAAATACACTTCCCACAATACAGCGCAAGCATTTTACAAACCTGCTGATTTGTCCCCTCAGACACACTGTGTTATATCACCAATTCTTTTTTACGGTAAATCAAGTTCTGCAGGTAGAGAAGGAAGGAGTTCAGATTACACCATCCTCATGTTATTCACTGTCAAACCACAGGATGAACATTTTAACCTCAAAAGATGAATATGTTGAATTTTGAGCAGGAATTGATCTACTTCAACCATAAATCAAATGACAAAAAGGTTCTGGTGACTTTTGAAATAATATAACTAAAGTGTAGTCTTCTGAGGTTAAATACATTGTTGATATTGTGAATAATTTGTGACTATAAAATAATTTTCTTGGGGCCGTAAACATAAACTGTATATAGAATGGACAGAGTCTGCCTCCTGGCTGGGTGAAGCCACCGCGAGAACAGCACCCTCTGGTGACGGGCTGCAGTATATGTCATAAATCCCGCCTCCTCCAGCAATTCCTATGAAGCTGTGGACATACTTTAGAAACTAATTACACAGAATATCAATGTTTCTCCCCCCTGGTTGTGATGTTGACATGTAGTTACTGTCAGACTGGTTTGTGCTCAAGTCCTCTTTTTTCTGTACAGCTCCATTTTTAAAAGTTATTAGGAGGTTCATGTTTTTTATGATTGACACTTGATACAGCCTATGGGCTTACAAAGATTGTGTAGCTCACTGGGAGGATACGCTGTTTGAGTCGAGACTCACAACAGCGACTCTCCTGCTGAATGCGTACAACGCTACTGTGCAAGTGATGATTCCAGGAAGTGGAGAAAATCCCAGAAATACCGAGAGAATTTCAGCTTCAAATTCATATAATGGCGAAAGGCGGAGCCAAGTTGTCCATAGTGTATACAGTCTCTGTTCGTAAAACACTGAGATGTCAAACTTAAGAAATTGAGGATTTACATACAATAAAAAAAGTTAGCTAGGTTTGAAACGTCAGTCATGCTTTTTTCAAGTGTTTTGCTAAATGTACTGCAGTTGTCTTCTCTTGTGAGGCGAGCTTGAGTGCTTTGAAAGGCACCTATAAATAAAATGCATTATTATTATTATTATTATTATTTATCTGGTATAAATGCCTGTATTTCTTACTATCACGACACAAATTGCAGAAAACAAACATAGCAATATTTTACTGCACACAGCTGAATTTGTTGGGTAACTATGCGAGGCTAATAGAAAGGCCAGAGCTCTGATTGGACAGTTCATGCAAAGAAAACAGCTGGAGGGACGTTGGTTTGATGTTCAACTTGGAGGACTGTCTGGAAAATACCATCTACACACAACATGTCTGACCCCACATACAAACACAAAAGAGGGCCTTTTTTAAGCTTTAACTCCAGAGGAATGTTCTTATGATTAGATACTGAGTATAAAAGGCTGCATGGAAAAAAAATAGAACAGTTTTCCTTTGACCTTTGTGTGATATGGAGGTAAATATGATACGGAGCAAACTCAGAACTTCTTTTGCCAGACTCAGGGCTCATTTTTGCTCAATTTTGAGTCAAATAGAGTAAAAAGGTCAGTGTACTCATGCTATTGGACATTTCTTGCCTCTGTGTTCAGAGACCTCCCCCTCAGACCAAACAGACATCACTCACAACTTTCCTCTTAACTCTGTTTTAAAGCGGCGACAGAAACCACCCTTCAGACATCTGGACTGACTCGCTCTGGAGTTTTCCGTCCAAGTGCAGGCATGCTGTTTGGATCTCTCTGACAGCGGTAATCAAATCTGCCTGTCACTCTGTTGTTGCTGAGGAGCAAACCTGCTGCCAACTGTGCAGCTCTGCAGGCGGGGAAATACTCTGAGGAAGAATGGAGCTGCTGAGAGCCAAGGTGGGTGGCTGGCAGAGGAGACGGTGTTTTTCCTGCACCCAGACGAGGACGAGGACGAACACTTCCTTCACTCTTGATGAATTTTCCAGTTTAATTTAAATGCTAATCTGAGTTTGACGAGAGGCTTGAGACTTCTGAGTCTCAATAACAGGATGGATGCCTCTCCTGTATTTCCTGGGTCAGATTCAGCCTCATATTCACGCTTGTACCTGTTTCAGGACGACTTGGCTAAAGCTGTTTGAGCGATACGCCTAATTTGCCAAACTGGTGATAATGAACATCCTGCAGTCTCTGAGCGCACATGCAGGGACACTCTGCAGCTTCAATAGCCCATTTACTCTCCACTAAAGAAGTCCGACGAGGTTTATTGGCAATTTGCATTTGCATGCACCGCCCAAACTATTGTTAAAGGTTCATTAAGGTATCGATCAAGGACTTAGGGTGATAGCTTGAATCATTCATGGCAGTTGCAAAGGTGGAGAGGGAAGCAAAAAGATGGAAACACGAGACAACAGCTTTCAACGTAGGGAATAAAGGAAAAGGAAAGAAAGAAAAAGTGGTGACGACGAGAGAAACTTTTGTTTTCTGGGATCACTAAGTCTCGATACTTTGTGGTGCTGAATTATTTGGCCAAGTCGCAGACTTTTAATAGACAATAAAATATCTTCGCATTAATGACTGTATCATAAAAAATAATCAGTCTTTACACAGACTGTACACAGACTAAAATCCCTCACAAAATCTCCCATCACAAAGAAATACCAAACCATAAAGACGGAGAGAGTTTTCAGAAAGATATCTGACCCTGAGTCCTGTTATAGATTACAAATATCAGCTGACACTGGATGATATTTCATGGACGTTTGTCCTGCTAAAAGTCACTACGACCAAAGGTTCAAGGCCTCTGACTGAAACAAAACTGCATAAAGAAGAAAGACAAACATATTCACAAAGTTTAACTGCCTGAAATACCATCCATCTCAATCTTTCCTCCTCTGTGACAGGCGTTTTTACTCACTCTCTGCAACAAGATCATCCCAGCTGTCCAGCCGTCCAGTCGGTCAAGTAACCGGGTGAAGTTTAAATGGAGCATGAGTTAAATCCACCAAATCCAGACCTGAACTACTTCTATCAAGGTCCTCTTTTAAGTACTCGGTGCTGTAAAACTGTCACACAGAACAGTCAGTAAATATAAAACAGGAAGCAGCCGTACAGGATCAAATTTTGCTCGTATCTTTGAGAACAGAAAGTTATGGTCTTTATCTTTCACTTCCTCATGAGTGATTTCATAAACTTGGTCACGTTTTAAAGAAGCCTGCATGAATGTGGGTCACCTCTGGTAACAACTCACCAAAATAAGCTGGAGGCCCTTAAAAAAAACATGATTCTCTGGCGTCGACCACATCCCCCAATATTGAGCATCGTGTTAGTCCAGGCAGGCCATAAAGTCAACACAAACATCATTCAGTTGAAAAATGCTGTAGCTACAACCCGCCTCCACCTCAGCTCCTCTTTTCACTGCTGTGTCTGACTTTGTTAGCGTCACTGATCCCTGATCTGTTTTTGGTTTTTGCTGCTGCTCTCCCTGCCTAACTTTTCCATACATGCATATTAAACAGAAAGGATGTGTCCTATCCCTGCCTCTGGGCAAGTTAGGAGATTATCAACTCTACAGCAGATGCATGAGCTATTTTACAGCCCATAATCTTTACCGCTGACAGTCTTCCTGCAAACCTGGAGGCACACAGTGTTCAGCTCAGCTGCTTTGATGAAAACATTGCAAAACAAGGTCTCAATGGCCTCGAACCATGGTCAAACTTGCAGCTCCGGTGAACCCATGAACAAGGTCAGACTTTAAAAGTTGTAAAAAGTGCAAATGCCTTTTTTTTTTAAAGCACACAGCCAAATACAAGTGCAAAAAAGTCTCCTCAGGTAGCAGGTGCAGGTGTCTTCAATTTTGAAATGGAGTTTTTAGCAACTGAGAAGCTATCCTTCAGGTACAGCATGGATTTTACTGTAACATCACTCAAAAGTTATCACTGTCCAATCCGCCATCTCACTCAAACATTGGCTGAATTAGCGGACTATGAATAACACCTGTTTGTTGTCCTTCTTCTGGTGCAAATCCTGTTTTTTTTTTAATAAGGTATGATCTACAGAAATTCATTAGTTTAAGCTCTGAAACAGAAGTCATCCCCGAGGACAAAGATCCGCCTAAACAGTCGATCAAACCCCTTCAGAGTTCACTCTGTCTCCTGAGTGGGAGATTTAACGCCGTCTGGTATTTGGTTCAGATTTCGTCTTGACCCGAATGTCACATCACTCAATAAAATGAGCAATAAGGAGCTCGGAGTCCCTGAGCTCTGAGCAGCCATCAGAAAGTGACCTTTCTCTGCCGACTGTCTGTCCTTCAGTCCGTCTCATTATCTGTAATAAATGTCCACAGGAACTTTCTGTCACAGTCACAATGAAGATCTATTCAAATATCATAAAAAACCTGACGGACTTTCCAAAGATCACCTGGACAGACAGTGACTCACACACACACTCATACAGGCAGAGGAAGAGACTGTAAAGTAGGCATAAAAAATCCTCAGCAACTTTAAAACATCAGGCCAAGGATATAAAAGTCAGGAGTGGCTGCTGCTTAAAAGCAAAGTTGGTACAAAGTTAAAAGCAGGAGAAAGAAGCAGATGGAGGACAAACGATTTCAGGACTGATGATCATTTAAAACAGACTGAGAGTCTCAGTGATCTAATGAGTGTCTCCTGGAGTTCACACAGAGTTTTACATGAACGTCTGCACGGTCCTGGTGATTGTTCCTGAGAGCAGGAAGTAGATCTGAAATGTCTGACCTGCGAGGGGTGCTGCGACCAAGAAACAACTAAAAGAAGAAGCCAAGCAAAGTCAGACTTCAGTGAAAATATCCTGTATGTCCTTATAAACCAGAAAAATGAGTCTGGGTTGTATTTGCTGCAACAATCATCTATAGCATTTAAACTATAAATTTATTGTCTTGGCCACCCCAACAGTGTCCATGCCTGGGTTTGGCCACCCCAGTCTAAAAGGTCTGGACACGCCCATGGTTGTACCTCTTCTTGACTGCTAATTTTATCTCTTGAAACAGATGGATCCAGAGGACTCAGGATTAGAGGGACTACAGTTTAAGACCGAGACTAAACTCCCTCCTGACGTTACCTAAACCCAACTGCTTCAGTTTTACTCCTCATGATTTTGGGATATCCGTTTGTTTTGAATCAACTATAAAAAGCTTTTCCCACTTCAGGTTTAAATCAAACATTTATCAAAGTCTAAAGTGAAAACTAAAAGGCGCCAAAGGAGCGGTAAAAACTTATGACAGAATTTAGAGCAGAATAAAAAACCTCAAAGTTATTTTTATTACAAACCAGAGCACAAACTTCCAGTCCGGCTGCAGCCCATAAAACCACCAAGTTTAATTCCTCTCTCACTTGAACAACACAGCTTCTTGTTTTTGTATCGCTGAACATCCAAATTTTACAACCTGACACCTCCAGCAGTTTAACGAGTCATGGCAGACGGCCCGGCTTTATCTCATCCAGGTCCTGTAGGGCAAAGTACAAGGCCGGAGCTGCTGCTGCTGAAAACTGTCCCCTCTGTGACCACCGAGCTCACAGGACGGTGATATCATCGTTTGAAACTGAAAGCTGTCTGATTACACGATTAACAACCGCCTGTGTTTTTATCACCACAGTCAATAGACGACACTTACAGGTTTCACTACGATGGAAAACTGATGAATACTTACTGCACGTCCTCTTAGCAGCAGATTTTACTGTCCCGCTGGGCGTGTTATGACGGCTCATTATACAGTGTCCAAACTGGACTAAGGCAACTTGAGCTGTCACTGACTGGTAAACAACTTAAAAACATGACAAACTTGGAAGAGATGCACAGAAATAAAGTGAAAATTAACATCATAGGAAGAAAAATAAACCCTTTATATATGACTGTACTCTGTGGGGTAAATCTTCAATCTCCGTCATGGCCACCAGTGTACAGCTGTAAACATCACCCACCTCATGAGACCTAATCCTAGGTGGTGCAAGTCCAGGCAAATTAGTTACAGGCTGCATCTCACAACTTTAAGTGTCACTGAAAGCTGAACTTAAACTGTACAGTTGGTTGGCTTGATTTCTGACACTACAGGTCAAAAACAGTCTAAGCAGGAAAAGCTTCACAGCTGCACAAAAGATGCACATTGTGGACTCAGCTAAAAAACTGTTAATGTAAATGTTTTCACCCCTGAAGTGGAGTTTCACAGACATTCATGGAGCTTAATTTCCATATATTCTTAACATGGTTGCATTACATTAACACACACTGGACACTGTCGGTAACACTCATGTAATCCTGCACAAATGTACAGCTCTCTCTGGCATACATTGAGTAAAGTTTATCCAGATTTTGGTTTATTTACTTTTTCATTTTAGTAACTGTATCTGTCTCTCTTCAAAGCTTTTCAACAGCCACAGTACATTTATTTTTATCGCTATAGCTGTCTTCATTGTTTCGCACAAACACAAATTCCTCATATATGTGAATCTACTTGGCAGAAAAACCTGATTGTGATTCTGTTACTAAAAACAAACTAAATGTGTTTCCGTCAAAGATTTGTTTTGTTTTCGTTTTAATTCAAACGTGAACAGTAGATCACCAATCAGAAAAAATAATAACATTCATGATTTGGATCAGAGCGTTTTAAGATTAGCATCCTGTTTCCTGCTAATGATTGTTCCCAAATCAGTGAATCAGCTGATTTTTCCTCTTCATCATGTTTTCTTTTTATCCGACACAGCTCTGGTTCTGACACAGAAATGATAACGGATTCATTTGTAGAAAACTGAGTTTGATTCTTGATTGGCTTTGTTTTGATTTCTCTGTTGTTGTTGATTAAGTGATTCGATCATACAGCACTTACTCAGCTCATATCCCTCTGCTTCCTCTGCTCCTCTCTGTGAGCTTAAACCAGACCAGAAAGTCGAGTTGTGCCTCCAGAGCTGCTCTGCCGCCGAGGATTTGTTTGCAAACTGAAAATCCAATAAAGACTTTATTAAAGGTCGCCATTAAAAGTGACATTAAGCCTTGTGTACATGATGTAAACTCTCAGAGAATCACAGAGGGTATAACAGAGATGAGAGGAGTCCGAACATCCGCACTCCTATTAACCTCGATGGTCGTTTATGTTGAAAAGCATCAATAAGAGTTTGTAGGTCACAGACGTGATTCCTCATCAGCACAGCAGCTCAATGATAGTGGTCAGAAGTGAAGTGCTACCTGTGCAAGAAGTGGGGGTTCATTATCATTCATATTTATGTGTATTAAAAAATAAAACTCTCTAGTCCTTAAGACGAAAAAACGGACTGGAAGGAAGGAAGAAAGGAAGGATAGGAGAGAAAAGGGAATAAAGGAACTAGGAATGAAGGAAGAATGCTTGAACAAAAAGTTATGATAATGAATTAAAGGTGTGGTAGTCAGGATCTGAAGAAGGGACAGTTTTTAGGAGAAATCTTGAATGTAAACTCTACCCCTCCAAACCAGTTTTCCCCTCAGCTCCTCCTCTCTTGTCCGGTCTACCTCCGTTTTAAGCGCCCGTTATTCCTCCAGAGTCTCCGGTATTTACTTCGTTTTCTTGCTTGTGTTTTCAGTCGTGGCCAAAGGAGAATTCCGACAATTTTCCGAACTTTCTGGTTGGTTTCTACTGTCCGATATTGTAGCACGCTAACTTTGTTTGGGCTCGTGAACGAAACGCGGGAGAACCATCTGCCTCACAACCAATCGGGTGGGAGGAGGCGGAAAATATCTTTCTTTCAAGAAATTTAAAATGTTGACTACACAGACATGAGAACACAGCGATATCGTTATATTACCAAATGTCATCAATGACTAAAAGCTACTGACTGATATTAAACGCTTTTTTGTATTTACACCACAAAAAAGATGCTTCTTTAACAGAATCCTGCCGACCCCACCTTTAAGAAGGAAAAGTGAATGATGGAAGGAAGACAGAAAGGGACAGATGAAATGGAAGATGAAAAAATGGATGAAAGTGTGTCTTAAAGGAAAGAAGGGCAGAAAAAAGGATATGAGGAAGAACGAAAGGAAGAAGGAAGGAAATGGTGAAGAAGGGTGGTGAGAAAGAGAAAGGGAGAAGAGAATGAAAGGAGAGAAAGAGGAAGGACGGAAGATGATTTGATCATTTTTTGCATCAATTTTGTTAAACGTAAAACTCATTGTGTGGTTGGTGCATTTTGAGAGTGTGTGTGTATGTCTGAGTGTGTGTTTGTGTGATGAGTGAGTGCCAACACATTCCCATGCATGACTAACACTTTATCAACACACTGATCCTCGAGGACGCTCAGGTGCTCTGATAAGCTCAGTACAGTAGGAGCCTGTTTGAATCAGTGGATTTTTCCACTGTGTACATATTTACTCAGGAGTACTGTTTGTGTCTGTTTATAATAATCTCTGTTTTTGTGCAGGTTTGTTTGTGTTTCTGCTCTGTCCTTTTTTGCTTTTTTGCATGCTTTCATGAGTGTGTGTTGATAAAGACACGTGTGTGTTTGTCATTTTATTGCGGTGCCATAACCCTGGTCGTCTTAGGCAAGCAGTTCCTGGCACAGTGGCGCATCAGGGTAAATAAACGCACTTAACCTGAGAGTCCTATAAAGCGTCTATCTGCAAAGCTGCTCCCTGGATCCTTTATTCTGCTGAGAGCTGGAAACTTGGAACAATAAAAAGATAAAAATGCACTGCAGATATCCTCTCACAGTGGCCAAGAAAGCTTTAATTAGAAACACGGATATTTAAGGAACAAAACCTCTTTGACTGAGCGGAAAGGAGGAGGGAACTTTCAGATGACAGGTTGATCATCAACACGGGGGCAAACTTTGACCTCAGAGACAATCCAACCAGTGCCCTCTTACAACAATAAAAGCCTGAACACAACAGCAGAGACATTGAGATAATATTTCTGTTTTTATGCTAACTTAAACCTGCATCCTAACGGGGCGTTCACACCAAGAGCGAGTAAAATCATTCGCGCAAATGTGAAGTCGATGCAAAGACACGGTCAAATGCTCAGACTATTCTAGTGGCGTGAATGACGTGAATAGGGCGGAGTGAATCGCATGAATTGGGCAAGTTAGTCACGTGAATTGAGCGAGTCACTCGTGCGAATGACGCGAATTCCCGACAGTTGAAAATATCTTAACTTAAGCGAATATTCGCTTTACGATAACCAATGAGCATGAAGATTCCCGGGTGACGTATGGAGACGGACTGGAAGATGTTCACTGGTGTGAAATTACAAACACTAACCCTCACCAACAGGTCGTCAAATTGGGTTCGGGTAACCCGAAAATACCGCTTGAAACGGCCGTCATCCGAGTGCAGCTACTAGAGGAGGTGGTGAAATTCTCCAAGTAGGATGAACCAAGACACGGCGGCGCCTAAATCTCCAACGGTTGTGGGCAATCTTCGCGATGTGGTTCACTTCTACCATGCTTAGATCTCTCGTATCCACGCCAACGTCCGAGGAATGATGAAATTATCTAGATACGTTTTATTTACGTTGACCTGCGAATGGAGAGAACGTTTCCTGCGAATGACTCGCTTCATTTGTGCAAATTAATTGAGTAAATACTTTTCATTCACGCGTCTAGATTCGTGTGAATTAAGCGAGTAGATAATTTTACTTGCACTTGGTGTGGACACCCATAAGGAGACGTCTCAATAGTTTTGTCGATGCTAAAAGGACTTTGATTTCAGCAATAAAAACGTGTGCATCTAAAAACTGCAGACAAACAGAAACAGAAACATGCTGGTGAATCTAGTAACCCTCTCTGTGAGATACTCCTGCATACAAATACCTGCTCAAAGACACAGATTGAAGCCGATGTAATGACTCAGGTGTGTTCTGCCTACTTTTGCTCTCCATACAGGCAGTTCTTCCTGCATTCTCTGAAGTTCGCTGACACAGGATTGGTCCAAACTTTCCAGACTACAAATTTGCTTCACGGAAAGATTATCCATGAAGTGTGAATCATCTGTCTTTGAGACCAGGAGTGGGTCACCGTGACGCACCTGTCAGGCCATGACTTTGAATGCGTGGAAATTTGTCGGATGTTTTTTTCATCATCTGTAGCTGTAGATGGTAAACACAAACTTTCTGTTTGTGCACCAGCTGAGCATCATTACGGTTTCTTTACTTTGGGAAACTTTTTTTCACAGGGCATGGGGCGCCCAGATTAGAGGAATCTGAAACCGAGCCAGCTCAGATGTTTAGAGGAAGGATCTTCAAAGTAAACCAGCCAGCACAGCAGGGGCTCGGCTAAAAATAGGAGCCGCCACATTAGCTCATCACGAACGCTGCGGCTG